TAGTTATTGAAGCACAACCTGTTTATTGCTAGTGCATGATTTGAGTCATAGCTCAAGCTGTAGTAGATAATACTGATACAGTGCTGCAATATGATTGCATCAAATATTATTAAGTAGCTAAGTAATAATGAAATTTTAAAGCAATATGTATAGTATTTAAGGGAGCCAGCTCTAAAAATCCTTAATAGGTTAAAATTGATCTGCAAAATTCTTCGCCATATAATGTCAGGCTTCATAAAAAATTTCAATTAAGTATCTTCAGAACATTTTCTTATTTGATCAATTGAGCATTATTAATAATGCAGTATATTAATTTCTCATTTAAATTTTTATTCACATTGATTTAAGCACATAAATTAATAGGTCGGCTCAATTTTTATTAAGTGAAAAGTAGTTTAGCCAATAAGTTTATGCGATGAAAAAAAAGTTTGACAACTTTATTTAGCATAGACTTATTTTGATTGGTTAAAATTTATTATTACATACGCGTCACAAAATTACAGTAAGGATCGGATCGTTTCAATTAATTATAGCACTTATGTAGCTGGTTAATCACATTGAGAGCACCCATAGTCTCCAAGTTATATTGGTCTAATTGGTCTAAGTATTTAATATGATCTGTTCACGTCTCATTTAATTTCTTATCCGCATTTGTTTGTATAATTATCATCTGCCGAGAACAGACCAGATCCTATTTTTAATATCTGTTCCGGGTTATGTATTATTAGGGTTAACATTAGAAAATTATATTGGGTAGCATCCAGTTTGCGCCAATAGACTTATTTGAATGGCAACTATAGATTGATATATGTTTTTCATTACGGCGCATTTGTAAACTACCCCAATTTAAAAAATTTGACTACTAATATGTAAATATAGATTTTGACTGAGATAATCAACATTCCCCAAGTTAAAATGCGTTATTTAATAAATTAGTATGTCTAATGAGATGCGTCAGGAGTAGAGATGGGTTTCATGCGTGCGCATGAAACCCATCTCTAGTCAGGAGTGGGGAGATGGGTGAGCTTGTGGGGAAGATGGGTTAGACGCGTTATTGGTACAGATCAGGGGTTCAAAAAATATTTTTGGGGTTTAACATTGATTGATTAATACATAATTTGGTAACTAAAATTTAATTTTGGGGACCAAACGTTTGGATTTGGTGACAAATTGTCTGCTTAATTCCGCAAATGCGCCGTAATGTAAAGAGGTATTTTACACTCTATAATATATGCATCTCAAAATCTTTTGTTTGTTTAAATTATAGCGTCTTATCCAATATTTATTTACCTGAATTCAAACCTATACATTCATATAACTATTCTGTATTGGTATTGTCCAGCATCAATCCGATTTTTAAATTTTATGCTAAGTTCAACTCTACTTATACTAAATTAGCACGGAAAAAAAATAATCAAATATCAAATCAAATCAAATCAAATCCAAATAAATATTGTATTTGATTTGATTTGATTTGATTTTGCGGAACCCTATATTCAAGGTTCATATTACAAGAGGATAATTTATAATCTTACCGAGATAGAATAACTTAAGGAGCAGCAAAAATTTTTTGTCATATTTTAGACTATACATACAGACTAATTTAATATAAATATAAAGAAATGACTTATTTTAAATACATCCACTATTATAATCATCGCCACTAAATCAATGAAATAAGAAATCAAATTAAAAGTGAATAAGTGTCGTAGTCGACGTTGGTGCCCCAGATATTCGTAGCGCAAGGGATCATGATCGGGTCATGATCCCAATTTGCATGAATGGCGTGATTCGGGTATGCATGGGAAATAACTAAAAGCTTAAAACATTGATTACATGAGCGATGAGATAATATGTAATAATCAGTGATTAAATAGCGATTAGTAATTAATATAAGGTATCGATCCCGAAAGGGAAAGAACCAAGCTTTTTAGACTTGAGCTTTGTGAGTAATAACTTTCGTTCTTAGTGAATATACCATTACCTGTGTGTGAGAATAATAAAATCGGTGGAAGGACCTGTACGATACACGGTCATCAAAGATATTAGCCAAGCGAGTGAAGATTATTAGTAAAGACCCACCAGTACACGGGAGTTCCAGTATAACCGTGACAATAAGCATTATTTATTTTTCGCACCAGTGGGAATAAGAGTTAAGTTTCCGGTTATATAAGGGCCCTTCGGGCCCTTATATAACCGGAGATCTACCGGCTTATTTCCCCGCAGTGGAAAACGTGGATGTTATTTTTCATTTTGAATGTCATAATGGCAAATCATATAAGTTGTAGTAGCGATTTCTTCTTTTGATCCACAGATTTTACAATATTGATAACGAGATCAGTATGGTATGTTTTTAAAATACCGCATCAGCATGAAATAACGCTCATGGGCGTTATTTTGAAAATCGGGTCCTTCAAAAACACCTTATATGGTCTCGAATTAGCACTCATGGGTGTAATGCGCATCCTAATGTAGCACATAATTTACTGTTGCGATATCAGATATACAGTCGATACTCCAAATGCATACACTCTATAAGTGCATTTCACATGAACTTTCCCTATAAGTGCACATACTTTATTTAATCATTTAATATTATATGTAGATTATTCTCCATAATGGATATTTTATAAATGCAACTTTACCCAACAACATGCATTTATTGAAGGTCGACTATATTGAATTTAGAAAATCCTCTCTTATTTTGAAATAACACACATGGGCATATTCGAATAATGCGCAAAATTAATTAGCACGCAGGTGGGCATTATTTCGCGCTTATACAGTAGACATTTTGCACCCTCTTACCATATAATTTTGTCATCCAAGTAATTTCTAAAATACTTATTTTAAAAGTAATTCTGTATGATTTGCTGTATGTATTGGTCATCGTGATAAAACCAGTAAATGCCGTAAAAATATTCAAATTATGAAATCACTGATCTTTTATACATTTTTTGAGGATCAGATTTACTCCCATAGCCATAAAAACTCATATTTTTAATGTTAAAATAAATTGTTAATTCAAATAAATTAAGAATATAAGTTGTACTTTATTTTTCACACAAAAAAAAAGATTGACAAGATAAACTTACAGTACAAAGTACATTAAAATATACCTACAAAATCATGTGCATGTTTCTCAAAATTCATGTGCTTGCCATCACTAGTTCTAATAATAATAGACAAGCTTGAATACTTGTTTAGAGTTAGAGATGCGATCCGGATATCCTCTAATTTAATTTTATAACAAAATTATCGTTATTATAAAGAATCCTTAAATAGGAAAATGGATAACGGCATCTCTAAGTTTAGATAGAAGTAGCTTTTGTGTAATAAAATGAGTAATAAACTAAATAATTTGAATGTTGTCTGCAATAATAAATAGGTAATAATGCATAATAATTTATGTTTAATTGGTCTAACAGCCTGTCTAGCCTCATGCCTAGTTGGAACCGATTTATTTTTATAAACAAAACCGGCTTAATCCAAAATAAATCAGGAATATTTATCATTATCCGATAGCTTACTATGATTGTGCTGCCAAAATAACTCGAGTTATTTGGCAGTTTATGTAATCACTACCAAAACTCGAGTCATTTAGAAGCACAATCGTCGTAAAGCCATCAGATAAAACCGTTATTGTATGCTACGCTAGCCAATAACTCTAATGAATTATTTTACAAATAATTCGAGTTATTGTCTGCTACGCATACAATAACTATACATTATCATTATAGATTTGACAAAATTCTATTATGAATTTCCGGGTCATAGCTTTATAAAAATAAAACTGGCAGATGGGTCTTTTTTTTTTTTTTTTGTTTATGTTATGAGAACCAAAAAAATTAACTTTATATAGCCTAATATATATATTTATATAAAAATTTGAATACTTTAATAATAACTAAACAATCACAAAAAAATAAATGTAAATTAATATTCCGATTTGATACAATTTTGGATTAGTTAGTTTGCTAATTCAATTTGGATTAGTTACAACAATTATTAGTGGTATATGTATTATCCGTTACGTCTAATCCTAAATTAACAATATCACTTAATTATGCGCAAATTTACAATATATCTTGATTCTGAACTTTGCTTAGACCTTCTGTTCCTGGTTTTACGCGATGAAGTCGCGCAGCTATCTAGTGGATTAAGTTATGACGTAATCATTAAAGGGACCGAAGGATGTACCGGACCGGACTGATGCATCCCTACTACTACACATACACAATTTTGCAAACCACAATAAAATAAATCAACACAAATAAGAAATTTATGATAAATAATTATTACACTTATTGGCGAAATCGAATTGAATAAGTTACTGTTTATTGACCAAATTAGCACAGATAATATATCAATATTGATTAATTATCATCATGTTTGTCAGTTAAATTAAATGACACTTAATGAGAGGTAATCCAATTATTAAATCAATATGAATATAATAAATACATAGATATGTATAAAAGTGTACCGATTATTAATTTCTGAATTAACAGTAATTTATAATCATATTGTAATATAATTTACGAAACAGTGAAAATTTTTAGTTAAATTATACTTACAAACTAATTTAAAAAATGGCTGATTTCAATTACGCTTACTATTATAATCATTACAAACCAAATAAATAAAGAAATCAATGAGAAGTGGAAGCTTGTTTTATATCCCAAATTTCTATTCATTATTTATACTGTAATTAAGATTTCTTTCCGATTACCATGTCTTCATATTGATATTCTCTCGATATATTGCAAATTGAAATAAATATAATATCGCACATCCGGTAATTGCATGAACGTATACTATAAAATAGTGTTCGATTAGAAGATCAATATAATGAATTTAACTCTTTATTGGATTTTTTTCAAATTGTGAGATTTTCATGGATTTTGAAGACTGCTTTTTTTCTATAAAAGGATATCATGTTATTAATAATCATACCAAGAAAAAACAACTCAAAAAAATTTCTATTTCACTAAGAAATCATGAATAATTTTATTTTTGTATTCAGTTTATTTGCTATTTTTCTTACTGTAAATGCAGTTCCATTTCAACTTAATAAAAGAGCTACCACCTTCAACCCTTGTTCCAATAATGACCCACTTACTGTAGCAATGCAGCCTGACCCTCCTGTTAGTAATGAAAACACTCAATTTACTGCATCAGGAAAATTAACAAATGATATCACCTCAAACAAAACTATTTTTGGAATTCAGTTTCAAGACTAGAAGGAAAAAACCCTTTAGATTTCCCTCACATTTCAACATTTGACGATTTATATCCGCATAGAAGCCCATTTTCGATATCTGTATCAGATGTTTCTATTCCTACTTTACCTGATTCATATTTAATTGTAGTTGTTGTTGGAGACCCAACCGGCAATCAAAATAATCCATTAAATGTTTATGGCTGTGCATTTGCGAACGTTAGTTCTGCAGATAATTCTTTCGGTGATATTTCTATTAGTGCTTTATTGTTTAAATAAAAAATTATATAATTGCAATATGTTGATATTAATAATTAATGCCTATAACAAAAGTATAGAACTGTTTATACAATAATTCTATTTACTTTAGTAGCTATAAAGTTTTAACAAATCTGTATTAAAAAGAATTATCAGATTTATAATAATATTAGTTATTTTTTTTGCTATTAATAATTTTTTTGATATAATAAACTACATATCCTGTATCTTGTTTATTTATTTAATATATGCACTTAATTAGTTAAAAAAATTTTTTACTAATCAAAATTTAACTTTTAGCATATTTCTGTATTTTGACGGAATAATTTAAATACTGTATAATAATAATAGGGTGCTGGTAATCGTACCCCCTCAGAAAAATAAAAAATTTTAAATTTCAATTAAAGATATTTCAACATCTACGTAGTCAATTTTAATAATTTTTTATTTGAATTTTACAAGTTCGCGGAATTCAAATAAAAAATTTTGTCGAATTTGGTCATGTAGTCATCGAAATAACTTCACACAAAGTCAAAAAAATCAAAATAGAAGCTGTGCTGAATCAATTTTAAAACTTTGAGCGAAGTTATCTCGACAACCACCTGGTCAAACTCTATGAAATTTTTTTATTTGAATTCTACAAATTCGTAGAACTCAAATAAAAAAATTTTCATCGAGATTAATTAGGTGGTTGTCGAGATATCTTCGCTCAAAGTCAAAGAAAAAAATCAAAACGTCTATCAAAATAGGAGCTGTGCTGAATCAATTTTAAAACTTTGTGCGAAGATATCTCGATGACTGTCTAATCAAACTCGATGAAATTTTTTTTATTTGGATTCTACAAATTTTTAGATTTCAAATAAAAAAAATTTTCATCAAGTTGATCAGGTGGTTATCAAGATATCTTCGCTCAAAGTTTTAAAATTAATTTGGTGCAGCTTCTATTTTAATAGACAGTTTGATTTTTTTTTTTTTTGACTTTGAACGAGACAACCACCTGATCAGCAAAAATACCATTTTTGATAGATCTGCAATACTGTTCATGATAGGATAAAATATATATAAATTATATACTGTTTTTATAAGGGTCTTATACAGTTCTTGATATGACCCCAAAAAAACTAAAAAAAAACTACACAACCCGAATTGTCACGATATCACGTGAATTTAAATGATCTATTGAATTGTTTGCATATCGATTGTACTGTATATACATACATACGTTCTCATACATTCTTGAACTGCAAGTACCAGGCTTATTATTATTCCATAGAACGACATTTGCATGTTTGGTTGATGTAAATTAACCTACTTAGATATACACTTTAAAGTACTTGAACATAAACACTTCACTAACAAAAAAATCACTGTGAAAGCAAATTCTAGGTCTAAACAAACATAGATATTTACTGCTAAAATCAATCCAAAATAATTTGCACTTCCAGAAACTTCACTTAAGAGCGAATATTTTTACTATATATCGCCAGTACTAGCTATATTAACTATATATAAGCTTTAAAAGCCAAAATTGGTCAACAAAAAAAAGATTGAGACGTCATATGTAAGTTTTGAACTTAAAGAACTTTGAGTATAACATTTGGTATACTATATCTTATAATAACAATAATTTTGTACTAACATTTTATATATTCTGAATATTATAGGGCTATATTATTAGATTAGTAATATAGCTTTGGATTAAGTAGTAGATCGATAATATGTATAAGGTTAAGATTATTATTTCATTAATTGTACAGGTAAAGGGTTATGTTCATAGGCAGATATTCGTATGATTGGCTATTTAAATCAATTTAATTTTACATTATTTATACAGTTTAAAGTACCTTTTAAAAAAAAAGAAAACTACGAAGAATAAACAAAAAA